GTGCATATGCATATTTGTGCATATCTGTGTAGGTGAGTAGTCAATATTAGATGCCTTCCTCGATTGTTCTCTACCTTCATGTTTTAAAACAGTCTCTCACAGAACCTAGAGCTTACTGATTCATCTAACCTGACTGGCCAGCAAGCCATAGTGATAACCGTTGTCTCTGCCTCTCTGGTGCTGGAATGACAGGTGCGTGCCACACTCTGCATGTTATACCTGTGCTAGGGATTCAGACTCAGGCTGTCACGGTTGTGCAGCAGGTACTTTATAGTCTGAGTCACCTCCCCAGACTGAGACCTGATTTCAATTTTTTTTCTTTTTTACCTGCGGTTTTATTTTTATTTTATATACATTAGTGTTTTTTGCCTGTATATCTGTGTGAGAGTATTGGATCCTCTGGAATTGGAGTTACAGACAGTTGTGAGCTGCCATGTGGTGCTGTGTATTGAACCCACAACCTCTAGAAGAGTAGTCAGTGCTATTATCTGCTGAGCCATTTCTGTGACATCTCAGATTTCTATTCTTCTGTTTTTATTTTGGAAGATTTATTAATTTATTTACTCCAGTTCCAGAAGATCTGACATCCTCATCCTCTAGCCCCCTCAGGCACTGGGCATGTACATGGTACAGACATATGTGCAGGCAAAATACTCATGCACATAGAAATAATAAAAAGATGAACTCTTATGTATGCCTGTGCATCATGTTTATACAGGACCCATGGAGATCAGAAGAAGGTGTCTGATCCTCAGTAGCTGGAATTATAGCTGAAGGTTCCCTGTCCTGTGAGTGCTTGGAACTGGCACTGAGTCCTCTACAAGGGTAAAAAGTACTCTAAACTGCTGAGCCATCTGTTCAAACACAGACCTGATTTAAAATTTCTATTCTAGCCCAGCAATGGTAGCACATGACTTTATCCCAGCACTAAATAGTTCAAGGCCAGCCTGTGTGCAGAGGGAGTTCTAGGACAGCCAGGGCTACACAGAAAAATTTAGTCTCAAAAAGTAAAAAAATAAAAATAAAAAAACAAAAGAACTCTGCCATTTCTAATGTGTGAACTTTTCGGTTTTTTGTGGTTTTCTTGTTTTTTGCTTTTTGTTTGTTTGTTTGTTTTTTGTTTTGTTTTGTTTTTTGTTTTTATTTTTGTTTTTAACACTAGCTGGGTGTTACTGTACCTTTTTTTTCTTTTAAAATAGATTTATTTTTATTTACTGACTATGAATGTTCTGCCTGGATTTCTGTATGTGCAATGCATGTGTGCTTGGTGCCTGTAGAAACCAGAAGAGGGTGCCAGAACATCTAGAACTGGATTGTAAGCCACCAAGTGGGTGATGGGACCTGAATGTGTATCCTCAAGAACAACAAGTGCTTCTAACTGCTGAGCTGCCTCTCCAGCCCCCAGGTTTGTACTTAGCGCTTTTCACAGAAGTAAGTTGTAAATGTATTCAATAGAATGCTCACATTTAGCCTGGCGGTGGTGGCACTCGCCTTTAATCCCAGCACTTGGGAGGCAGAGGCAGGGGGATTTCTGAATTCGAGGCCAGCCTGGTCTACAGAGTGAGTTTCAGGACAGCCAGGGCTTCACAGAGAAACCCTGCGTCGAAAAACCTTAAAAAAAAAAAAAAAAAAAAAAAGAATGCTCACATTTTTAAATGTCAGGCTCTACTGTGAAGAGAATTCAGTCTTAGAATTTGCCCCGAGGGTATATGTGTGCTCATGCTGTTACTCTTTCTCTCCCTCCCCACTTCCTCTCTGTTAAGTAGAGGAGTCAGAACAAAGTTCCTTTAGTACAGCCTACTTTGTGTTCTAATTTATTAATACACTTAACATACGAAAAAGTTCAAACAGTGAGTTAGTTTTCCTTAGTTGGAAACACATTGGACCCACAATGTACTTGTAACATTTATTTCATATCCATACTCCACATATCAAAGCCAACATGATTCACTGATTCAGATACTGAAACCAAACCTAGAGGGATTATCTGATGTTAAAAGGTATGCAAACAACTTAATGGTAACTGACTGTCCTGGGTAGTTTTTGTCAACCTGGCACAAACTAGTAGTCTGGGATGAGGAAACTTCAACAGAGGAATTACCTCCATCACATGGGCCTGTGGGCATGCCTGTGGGTTGTTTCCATGATTAATGATTGGTGTGGGAGGGCCTAACCGAGTGGGATGTTGAGAATACCAGGTGCATTCCTAACACCCCCAATCCAGAGCAGAACGTTTGTTACAATTGCTGAACTTACCTTGTCAGTTACGTAGCAAAAGTCCAGTTACTTAAATTCCTCCTTTCTTTTCATGACTAAGTTGCTCATCATTTTGAGGCTGTATAATATCATTGTCTGGATGTATTGAGGCTGATTTATCCATTCTTCCACTAAAACTTCCATAAACAGGGCTGGGCGTTTAACTCAGTTGGTAGAGTGCTTGCTTAGTATGCATGAAATTCTGGGTGGCTTCCTACCAATAAACCAGAGATGGTAGACACAATTCTGGCATTTGGGAAGGTGGAGTCAGTAGGATAAAAGTAAGTTAATCGTTGGTTACATAGTATCTTAGAGGCCAGCCAGGCTACATGAGAATCTACCTCAAAAATAAGCAAAGCTTTCATAAACATCCACAAGCAGGTTTTTGTTTGTATGTAAATTTTCAATTCTTTAGATTAAAGCCAAAGAGTGCAATTTCTGTATTACATGGTAATACAAATGCTATAGCTTTCTTTTTTTTTTTTCTTAAAGAAACTGCCAAGCTCTTCCAAATAGTCTGTACTATTTCACATTCCCACAAGGAGTAAATGAGAGTTCTGTCACTTTACAGACTCTCCAGCCTTTGGTGGTGCTCCATTCTGGATTTTGGCCATTCTAATAGGTGTGTGTTTGTGTTTGTTTGTTTTTATTATATTATTTATTTATTCATTTATTCCTTTAGAATGGGCAGAAAATAGAATATTGCCTCTGATTATATTGCAGGATAGAAATCCCATTCTGAATATCTGGCCTACAGTTTACGCTTGAATTTCTTACTGTTGCAGTTGAAGCTGTTTATTTTACTGGATAAGAGAAATTTGGGTGTTAGGTTTGCTGGTAGGTTAAAACGATGCATCTGAGACCCAGACCTCAACTCCTTCTCTCCAGCTGGAGGCTGCCTTCTTAATGAAGCTAAACCCAGATTTGAGACTAGGGTACTGCTGTGCTTGAAGGACTGGGAAGCTGGGCAAAAGAGAAATATTTTCCAATCTTATTTTCTGGTGTTTTGAGGCAGGGTTTCTCTGTGTAGCCCTGGCTGTCCTGGAACTCACTCTTTAGACCAGGCAGCCACTGCAGGCGAGTGTTCAATCCTGAGATCTCCTAAAACAATAATGAAGTTTAATACTTTAGGACAAACTTCTTAAAGAATGAATTGCTGTCTCCTGATCACTGAGCCCTGGGCTAAACAGAGGACATTTGCCATTTACCACATACCAGAAAGCCTCACATCATTTCAGATAGTGTTCTCTTAACTTGTTTAATTTCTCTTTGAAATATCTTGTTACTCTAATTACTCAACCGCCCCCTCCCCCCAAAGCAGGGTTTCCTCCACTGTCCTAGCCTTTATCTTTGCTATCCTTCCACGATGGTCTTATTCCTTTATTGTTTTATCTTAGTTTTGCCTAATAAATCCCTACTTGTCTTTCAGATCCTCTAAGGAAGCTTTCCCAGACTACAAGCTTGTATACTCTCCTAATCCGCTGTATCTGTACGCTTCACAAAGGACCATGCCAGTGTCATTTTCTGTGTTGTCTGTAGTGCCATGTATATAGTGTACATGGTATACTATATACCAAGCAGTATAGTATCTTCTACATACAAATGCTCAGGAAATAATCCTTGTCTAATTGTGCCAAACGAATGCCCAACTCAGAAATCTCTCACCCCCCTTTAAATTACATTAGTTACAGAACCTAACAGGAAGCATTTCTTAATTAAATTTCTCAAGAGAATCTTCCCCAATTCTATTTCAGCTATAGATTGTTTATCTATAAGAGCTGTTCATTACATACTGGCAAGGGTGTGGTTTGAGATAAGGAACTGAAAAGTATTTGTCTTGGGAGAAGTCACAGCCCTTTGAGCAGTTACGTTTAGAAAATTAGTGGGAGCTATTCTGGGACATATCCAGTTAGGAAGCAGCAAGTGGTAGGCAGGCACGACTGGTTTTCCAGGTTCTCTTAACTTTCTGCTGAGCTGAAGACCACTTGCTTTGTGGAGAATGTCTAAAATGAAAAAGCCTTGGACGTTTGAGGAGCAAACAGAATACATCGTCAGTGCTCTACTCAAAGACTTGTTGACCCCAACATCCCAGGCTACTAACAGGAACCTACTGGCCACAGAGGAACCATGTTCAGGTAAGGCTCCTAGTCTGAGATAGTGATTACAGGTGGATAATAGAATCAGAGTCGGCTTCCTCTCTTTCAAGTTTGTTTGTTTGTTTTTTTGAGACAGGGTTTCTCTGGGTAGCCCTGGCTGTCCTGGAATTTACTCTGTAGACCAGGCTGGCCTTGAACTCAGAGATCCACCTGCCTCTGCCTCCTAAGTGCTGGGAATAAAGGTTTCAGGCACCACTGCCCAGCTCTCTTTCAAGGTTTAAAAAGCAAGTCTTAAACTTGTAGCAACATTTGAAATAAAAGATCTTTTCAATAGAGAGGATTGTCTGACTGCTACTAATAACTATAAACAATGTCAAAACTGTAAAAAAAAAGCATCGAAAATAGAGTAAGTTCCAGGACAGCCAGGGGTGCCTGGAGAAACCCTCTCTCTCAAAAAACAAAACAAAACAAAACAAAAATACAACTAGAGAACATGTCTCTTCTGCCCAGATTCAGGAGACTTTCCATTCCTTCAAGCATGGTGAAAGTGTTTTCTCTGTCTTAGGAGAGGATAGCTCTTTTGATGTGGCTATCATTGCTGGCCGCCTTCGAAAGCTTGGTGACGAGTTCAATGGAGAGGTGGAAGCTTCTGCCAATAAAGTCATTGCGGAAACCATTCGAGGACAGGTCTGATTTTTGCTTTTTAGTGTTGTTTGCTGTTCTGTTCCATTTCAAACTAATTTTCTCCTTCTTTCCTTCCTTCCTTCCTTCCTTCCTTCCTTCCTTCCTTTCTTTCTTCCTTCTTTCCTTTTTTCCTTCCTTCCATTTCTATTTCTGTATACTAGGAATAGGAATATTCTGTGAGAATTTGGAGGTATATGTTTGTTCAAACAGCAACAGAGGAAATGTGATTGCTAATTCTTCAGACATTAATAAAAACCCAGGACTATAGACGGAACTCACAGGCTTTATCAGAGCTGCCCTTTGTGTGCATAGACCACACTCATAGTTCATTATCCTTTGAAAATAATCTTTTATGTATATTTATTACTATTAATTATTACTAGTGTTGTATGTGTGTGTGTGTGATGTGGGGAGGGGGACATATGTGCCACTGCATGTCTGTGGAGGCCAGAGGACAATTTCATGGAATTCTCCCTTCCACCTTTGTGTAGGTTTCAGGGATAGAACTTGGGTTACCAGGCTAGTGTGGCAAGTGTCTTTAATTGTTGAGCTATCTCAACAACCCCATTATTCATATTCTTAGTGCTTAATTTTGTTGGGAGTGGGCTTTTCCCCTTATCCCAGAGTCCAGTAGTAAGATTCAGAAATATTGGATAGTTCAGAAATCTGATACAATTAGAGTTAACCTCTTAAAGGAGCCTACTGGCTTCTCATCAGAACTCTGATTTCTGGCAGTAGCACTTGGACTTTGTATTAGCTATGAAGATCATAAGACCGTCTTCCAGTAGACGTTGCTGATTATATCAACTACAGCAAGTACTTATTACTTCGCATGATCGAATTTCACTGTTTAATCATTACACTTGTGTGTAAATCATTATAGAAACTGATACTCTTAGGATCTCTGAATCAGCATATGATACCATGAACAAATATCAAGCCTGCTTTCTTCTCTGCAGTATTCATATAATTCATGAATTGTGCCTTATTCTCAGTAGGCCTGCAGTGTATACTTCCTGACTCCATACTGTTTTAAGCACATAAAAGAAATAGAGGCATAAGGGAATAAGTCAGAAACAAACTCTATAATGTTGAAGATAGGTTTTGAACCCAGACTTATTTCACAACCACACTTTATTCTTCCTAATGAAGAGCTTAGGGGTGTGTCTGCATTACATTCAGACATAATCTTACTTCCAGCTACTGCCCTGAGGTGTCATAGACGGCCGATAGTTGGGTCTGCTTTTTTCTTCTATATTTTGGACAATAACAAACAAAACAACACAACAACAAACCAACAACCCTGGGTGGAGGGAAGACATTTGAAACAATTTCAAACTCTAGTTGGAAATATGGTATAGAGAACCTCTCTAGACATTTCAGAATAGTTAACAGGACAGTTCCTTACTCTGTAATGATTTTATACTTCCTTCAAGAAAGAATTTTTTTTTATAAAACCAAAATATAACCGTCAAGACCAGGAAATGAACAGTGACACAGTAGTAGTGAATCCTTACCATTCACGAAATTCTTGTCACCTGTCGCAACAGTGTAATTTATATTATACCCAAAGCCAAAAAATACCCACGTCAGATTCATGGGTGGCATTTAGTTATGTTTCCTTGTATCCCCTGGGTCCATATTGGTCCCTTAGTCTTTTGTTTATTTTATGTCCTTGACCTTCGAAGATTATGGGAAATGTTGAATACCCCTGAACAAACTTGAGTTTGTCCTGTCCTGTTGAGAGAACTGTGTCTCTTTGTCACGTTTCAAATTCCCTTGCTTTTTTTTGTTTTTGTTTTTTTTTTGTTTTTTTTTGTTGTTGTTGTTGTTGTTTTCGAGATAGGGTTTCTCTGTGTAGCCCTGGCTGTCCTGGAACTCACTCTGTAGACCAGGCTGTCCTCGAACACAGAAATCTGCCTGCCTCTGCCTCCCAAGTGCTGGGATTAAAGGCATGCGCCACCACTGCCCGGCATTCCCTTGCTTTCTAGCACAGGTCTTACACTAGCTGGGAGTCAGTTATTCTCCAGGGAGCTCTAGTTTCTCTCAGTGAACAGTAATGCTAAAACACTGAGATACAGGGCCAGTGAGATGACTCCATGGGCAAAGTCGCTGACTGCTGTGACAGCGTGAGTTCAGTCCTCAGGACACTCATGTGGAAGGAAAGAATTATGTCCTGTAAGTTGTCCTCTGACTAACACACATGCACTATGCCATGTGTGCACACGCGTGCATGCACACACACACACACACACACACACGCGTGCACAGACACACATATTAAGTAAGGAAATATATAAGTGTAAAAACAAGCAAAAACTCCTCAGAAATAGGTATCTTCCAAAGCTGACCATTATTATTATTGTTACTATTATTATTTAGGACTTATCACTCTGCTCTGACAGTACTGGGTTCCTTTGTGTCTCAAAGATCTGCCTTGACCCCATCTAACAGTTTTTGTACCAATTTATTTGAGAGGGGAAAAGAAGTTTTTTGTTTTTTTTTTTTTTAAATTAGACTTTGCTACACATTTCCTAATCATGGAAACAACCCCTTCTCACAGTCTGACTTGCTCATTGTCATGTGCTTAATAGTTTTCTTTCAAAATAAGTTGTTCATCCTACCCAATTAATATCTGAAATTATGAACTTGGTAAGTTATTTAATGTTTTTAATATCAAAATAATAGAATATTAAGATGAAATTTGTCCACCTGTCCTCTAATATTACCCCATGCTGCCAGTGGTACATTTGCCACTTCTGAGCATGTCTGAGACTTGCAGCCTCTCATACTGTTGGAGTCACAACTAACAGAGCCTGTCTTCCTCCTCAGGCAGGAACTATACTCAAGGACACAGTACAGTCTCTCAGCACAACCTGGTGTACTCAGGATCCTACCTTAGCTTTTGAAAGAGCCTTTTTGGCAGTGTCAGTAAAACTTCTTCAATATGTGGCCCATAAGGCTCCTGAAATGGCAACACAAGTGGCTACCTGCATGACAAGCATGATCAACGGGAACATGGCCATCCGAGGGTTTATCCAGGACCAGGGAGGATGGGTAAGTACCTGTAAAGTCCCATGCTTTGCTAGGCATTTGTGCTGGTTTGGTTTTAATAAGTAGGACTCTTAATTAATTATGAAACTTTTGGTAAATTGCCATGGAAAGAGGAAATAGAAGCTCAGCCTTTGAGGGTTAAACAGTGCTGCCTGAGATGTTGACTGCTGGCCATAAAGCTAATCCCTACCATGTCTACACAGTCAGCTACCAAGTGTGGTGTGGTAGAGTTCTAATCTCAGCCTGCCTTTATCTGCTTCCTGGTGATTTTCTGAATCTTTATTCTTGACATCTTTAATATGTGTTAAGGAAATTTAGAATAATGTGTGTGTGCGTGTGTGTGTGCACGTGCATGCATGTGTGGTATGTGATATATTAATTCATATGCTTCTGAGTTCAGGCATGTGCATGCTACAGCTCATATGTGGAGGCCAGAGAATAACCTTGGACATCAGTCCTAGCTTCTCTCACTGTGATTGATACAGAGTCTCTCTGTAGTTCCACTGCATGTGTGAAGCTAGCTGGCCCATGAGCTCCTGGGAATTGTGTCTCTGCCTTCCATTCTGATGTAGGAGCACTGGGATTAGAGATGTGCACTACCACATCCATCTTTATATGCTTTGGGGATTTGAACTCATATCTTCATGCTTGTGCTTGTGGTAAGCACTTTACCTACCAAGCCATTTCCTCACTCCCCAGAATAATCTTATTATTACCTAACCAAAAGAAAATTAAATAAATAAATAAATAAATAAACCAAACAAACAAATAAATAAAAAGACCAGTTTGTGAAACAGAGTCAGATACAACAGAACTGATGCATATATGAATTCAGAGACTGTGACCACATGCACAGGTTCAAGGCAAGTGTAATCCCAGCACTGAGACAGGAAAGTGGACACAGGCTCAGACCCCTAACCAAAAAGCTAATTGGAATTGGTACCTGGTGGCAAAGTAAAAATTATTTTTTTTCCAATGGAGTCTCACTTGAGGGTAGTCCCCACACCCAGGAGTAGTTGGCCAATACAAAACAAACTCAATAGTATTTTTATAGAGTTTAAGTCTCATTTTGCTTTGTTTAGGCATTTTTTCTCTGATTGGTCTTTTACTCATATATGTTGGTTTCTATTGTTGTGATTTTGCCGGGGGAGTGTGCATGCGTGTGTGTGTGTGTGTGTCTGTGTGTGTGCATGAGAGCATGTACTTCTTGGGTTTTGTTTGTTTTTTATTTTTTTTTAATTATTTTTTTAAAGATTTATTTATTTTATGCACATGGATACACTGTAGCTGTCTTCAGACACACCAGAAGAGGAATCAGATCCCATCACAGATGGTTGTGAGCCACCATGTAGTTGCTAGGAATTGAACTCAGAACCTCTGGAAGAGCAGTCAGTGTTCTTAACCGATGAGCCATCTCTTCAGCCCTTTTTTGTGTGTGTGTTTTTTTTTTAAAGAGACAGAGACAGAGAGACAGAGAGAAGATAAAGTAGGGATGGGAAGGATCTGGGAAGAATTGGGGAAGGAGGAAACATGTTCAAAATACATTGTATGAAAAAAATTGTTTTTCAATAGAAAAAAATAGTTTGTCTAATCTATTGTAGAGTTGACTGTAGGCAGCATACTAAGCCTTTACCTTTTTTTGTTTCTGTTTTGTTGTTGTTGTTGTTGATTTTTTTTTTTTTTTGAGGCAAGGTTTCTCTGTGTATCCCTGGCTGTCCTAGAACTTACTCTGTAGATCAGGCTAGCCTCAAACTCACAGAGCTCTGCCTGCTTTCACTTCCCAAATGCATGTTGGGATTAAAGGCATGTGCCATCACTTCATACCACCTTTATCTTTTAAAAAAGTTCATTTTTTTTTATTGAAAATAGGTTTTCTTTCATACATTACATTCTAATTTCAGATTCTGGTTTCTCTTTCCCCAACTCCTCTAAGATCTCTACACTTTCCCACCCACCAAACTTCACGTCCTTTCTTGTTCTCGCTCATTAGAAAGTAAACACTAAGCCTCTATCTTAATCATTTGTCATGCTCCCACTACCTCAGTGTATTCCTTTCCACTTCCTGGATCAGTAACAGTTGTAGTAAGAGGTACGGTAGTCCCTGAAGGAATCTTCCTGAATTCTCAGACAGTTCCTAAGGACCATCCTTTTGACTAGATTCTGACTGTTCTTCCTAGGAAAACCTGGAGAGCTGAAGAAGAGGTTATCCCTGAGTGAACATCACTTCCTCTGACAGATTGGGTGGGTGACTAATTTCTGATAATTAAAAGATGCTTTTTTCAATTTAGCCAGTGTTGTTTTTACTGAATATTGACTCTGGAAGCACCTTATAGAAGCCTACATTGATATTATACTTTCTTTTCTTATGTGAGTTTTAATAAGAGTTTGTTGAAACAAAGACCTCCTGATAAAGTAATTCCTTACAAGCACTTTTGCAAATCTTTGCTGGAGATATTTTGAATGAAACAGCACATCAGAAACTTTTTCTACAGGTTTAGTCTTTATGTGCTAGTGATTCTGGAATCAAAAGGATGTCAGGAGTTTTTAGTTAAAAATGTTGTTCCTTCAAGTAAAGGATTTTCTTTCAGATCTACCCTGGGTTTCATGTTTCTTTCTCCTGAGCAGAATTTACTCATCCATTCTAGGAAGTTGAAGGAAAAAGTAGCAGTTTACTTATTTTCCTTCCCACTAGAAATATCAAAGAGAGATGAAACAGCTGTTGTGCTTTACTGTGAGGACAGGGAAGCACTGGTCTACATGCAGAGCCATTGGCCCATGCCAGCTTGACCAATACAAATTTCACATTGTAACAAGGCCCCAGACCTTAGTACAACTGACTCCATGATTGAAGTTCCACTTGTAGCTGACTATTCTTGTTTACAGAAGTATCTCCACCCAGAATATGTTTTTTTGTGCTTAAAATCTCACCTTAAGAAAGACTTGGTGCTAGCCGGGCAGTGGTGGCAAACATGTTTAATTCCAGCACTTGAGAGGCAAAGGCATCCGGGCTTCTGACTTTGAGGCCAGCCTGGTCTACAGAGTGAGTTCCAGGACAGCCAGGTCTACACAGAGAAACCCTGTCTCGAAAAACAAAAACAAACAAACAAACAAGCAAACAAACAAGCAAACAAACAAAAAACAAAAAAGAGAAAGGCTTGGTGCTATACTGGGATCCCGAACAGAAACAGCCAATGTAGTCACTGGCCCACTTATAAAGATTTTCTGTTGGCTTAAACCCATGTTTGAGCAGTCCCCCCTGGTGGATACCCCACATTTCTGGAGGTCTTACTGAGATCCCCAGAGACAAGACCTTGAGACCCAGGAGTCTCAGATCCTCTTGGAGCAGCAGGAAGAGCAGAGTAGTCAAGTAGCTCCTAGGAGGTGGGCAACTTGAGTTCCAGGACTCTCTTTGATCAGTCGTTTCTTAACACCTCAGAGGGTCTGATACCTTCACCTCAAAAGGAAACAAATTATAAAGTCTGCTGGTCTGTTACTTCTAGGGGTAAATTTGGTTAAGGCACCATCCATTTATACACATTGGAGAGGTTAGACATGGCTGCTGATCCAATGTGCAGGATCCATGAATGTCATGGTGGCCACCCCTGGTTGTTTTAACTGTGTGTCTTTGTTGAACTCTGAGATCCAAAACCAGGGGATGCGCTCTCACAGAAACACACATGGTCAGGACTCGCTGCAACAACATGAGGTTTAATGATAGTGGTGCACTAGGACTTTCTTGCATGCAGGCAAGAGAGCCCCGAACAAAAGCTTGGAGCAGTTCTTATGCAGAGTTCAGAAGGGGAAACCACACCGTCTGACCTCTAGGTGACTCAGATTATGACAATGAGTGTCTTCAGTTTGCCCAGGTTTATTATGTTAAGGGCCCAGCTTCCAGATTCCTGGAATGTGTCTATGTGCTCTGTGCCCTCCTCACCTGCAGGTGGGTTCCCTCCCCTGTGGTCTGAGGAATGTTAATCAGTCTCTCCTTTCTTTCTCAGAATGTTAATCCAGCAAGTGCCCTCTGACTAAGGAATGTACTCCTCCCCGGGCAGTGAATTCTAAGTTCAAACCAAGACCCGAAAGTCCTACATTCCCCCCTTTTTCTTGTGGGTGATTCCTTCCTGGAATCACAAGCTGTCATTTAACTTTGGATGTACACACCTTAAGCCCCACCCTCTAAGAGTGTATCTGGGACATGGTTTAGATTCAAAAGTCTCTTATCTCCGACATTTGGGTAATCTCCACCCCTGTGCCTCTAGGGTGGGGATATCTCAGGAGTCAAGTCTTGCTGATCTTTGGCCTTGTAGAACATCAGGAGATCTTGAGCTTGAGGAGGTTGCTCAGGTGTCTGGCTGCTCTCTAGTTGGCATCAGGTCCAGGTGCTGGTCTGAGTTATATGAAGTCAGGCAGTTACTCCATCTACTTCAGTGGAGGTCAGGATGGTCAGCAGCACCAGGAACAGCCTCTTATTAGCCTGAAAAGTCATTGGGGGGGGGTGAGTCAAGAGCTGGAGTAAAGGGAGTGGGAGTCCCATACAAGAGGGGTGTTCTGGGCTCAGAACAGGGTCAGGACAAGGGACATCACCCAGCCAGCACCAGTTTCTGAGGGCAATTTAGTTAAGGTTTCTTTTTAGGGTTCTGTTCATTCTCTCTACCTGCCACGAGCTCTGGGAACAGTACAAACGATGGAGCTTTCAATTAATTTCCAATATCTCTGACAATCTCTGACTTACCTTAGAAATAAAAGCAAGATGGTTGTCTGATTCAATTACCTCAGACACTCAAAACCTCAGGAAGATTTCTTCTAATATCTTCTTGGTTACCACAGTAGCTGTTTCCTGCTTGGTAGAGAAAGTCCCAACCCATCTAGAGATAGTATCTACAAATATTAGAGGGTGTCTATATTTTTCTGGCCTAACTTCTGCAAAATTTACCTCTCAATATACTCTAGGCTGTTCTCCCCTAGGTATTTTTCCTGTTTACTCTAAGCCTCATAAGCCTTTGCTTGTTGGCGTACCTTACACTGTTCTATTATCTCTCTGGCCCAAAACCTGAGGCCTATTATACACTTTAGATGTGCTTGGATATGCTTATATCTCAAGAGTCTATCTGTGCATTTAGCCTAGGAAGTCTTTTGTTTGTTTTCTGGGGAGTATAGTTCTCCCATCTTGTGTGCACCACTGCCTCTTTTTCTCTAGGTAATAGTTGGCAGGATGGCTAGCAATCTGAGTCTTTTCTTCTTCTGTGTGTTTTAAGTGAGGCCATCTTTTACTCTAGTCCCAATCCCCAGTGGATGTCTCTTGTAGGCCCATAACTGGGATAGGCTCCTGCAGAGCCATTTCTTGAGCCACTTGATCTGTCTAGTTATTGTCTCGGGCTACTGAGTCTCTTCCCTTCTGGTGTCCTGGACGACAAATAGTACTCACAGTTGCTGGCTTTATCAGGGCATCTAAGAGATTTAAGATTTCTTCGGATTCGAGCAGTTTTCTCTCTTGGTATATAGCCCTGTTGACATGGGCTGTGACAAAGGCATACCTGTTGTCTGTGTAGATGTTAATTTTCTTGCCAGCTCCAAGTTCCAAGGCTGCTTTCTGCACCGATGAGTCCGGGTGGTGGGGAATAGAAGTTCAGCCCAGATGACATTTGCGCCGTCCACCACAGCAGCACCAACTTGTCTCTGGCCAGCATGGAGAAAACTGCTGCCGTCTGTAAAGCAGGTTGCCTTGGCTCTCAACAGGGGTCAGTAGGAGAAGTCTTCTTTCTACCCATGGGTTTTCTTTTGGGGCCAGTTAGTTGTAGCCCATTGGGCAGGAAGTGTATCTGGGCCCCCATCCTGAGGAGTAAGTCTCAACCCAACAGAGGGTAGGGACAGTCTGAGATGATCATAAATGAATGGGATTCCTAGCCCATCTCTTGGTCCACCATTTTTTTTGGGTAGTCCATGAATCAGTGGCTCCTTGGAACCAAGATCTTTTTTTGGAAATGGGGCCATCGGCTTGGAGGAGGACTAAGTGTTGAGTCCCTGTGTCCACCAAGAGTTGGGTGGGTCCAAGCCCGTCTACCCCAATTGCTATCTTCACTCAGAGCTAATACCATCCCCATTTGGGGGTGTTTTTCCCAAGGCCTGGGATTTCCTGACCCCAGCTTTTATTTGTTAGGGTGCTCTCAGGATCAGCAGCTGGCTCCTTTACTTGTAATGTGTACATTGGTCCTTTTCAAGGAGTTTTCTATCTCCCTTTGATTGGAGTCTCCCTTCTTTGCTTTCCCTTAACTACTATAGCCAAGCTTCTCTGTAAATTCTTTTCCTGTTACCCTTCTCTTTCTCATCTGTCTTTTATCTTTTGGTTTTTTTCTCTTTCTCTGCTCTTTCTCTTTTTATGTCCACCTGTTATGGTAGACTTCTTCAGCAACCTACACTAAATCTTTTAATGACTTATCTTGGAGTCTGTCTAGCCTCTAAAGCTCTTTCCTGGCATCTGATAGCCTTGTCTATACTGACAGAATGTCTCTGTGAGCTATTTTAGAAAGGCTGTGGGCAGTTCATCTGATCTCTGCTTAACCTCACATGCCTTGGTCAAAATTAGTGGGGCCTCATGTAGCCCCTTTGAGACCTGCCAATGGAATCTGGTGTGGGCTTTTAGATGCCCCTTACCTTCTGATACATGAAGGCCCCAGACAGGCCTGTTCAGAAGCAACCCACTATTGACCATGGTCTGGTCAATTGATGGTGCCCCCATGTCTGAGGGAAATTCTTTTTTTTCTGGTATCCTCTCTTGCTCTTCAGTCCTGAAGAGCACTCCTGATGGCCAGAACCTACAAGGGTCTTGGGGAAGAAAGGCTTTTATAAGGGGAAGGGTGTTCCTCTACTAGATGTATCTAGGTAACTATATTGGGCACTTGGTTTGGGTGCCTGAGGGATCCTGGCCTAAAGACTCTTTCCTCTACTGCTTTGATCACCTGTACGAAGGTCCCTATGGGTGGCTACTCTAAATGGAGAATAACTAGCTTACCCTTTTTTACTACAAATTAATATCTGTACCAAAATGGAGGTCTATTCTTTTGGCTCTCTGACTCAGGACAGCCTGTAATGTTTTACAGCAGGTGACCTGCCTGCAAGCAGTTTTGTTGTTTCAGAATTTCCAAGCTGGAGTCACATGACTTGTCTCAGCGCTACTTACACCTTTTATTAAAAATAA